ATGATTACAGATGAGTCAACTTGCTATCGTTCATGGCAGTGTAACCACTTTTGTTTCTGGTGTGTGGGAGGCAGACTTTGTTGGCTTTATCAGCTCTTCTAACTTGTGGCTTGTGGCAGCCATGGCCTCTGATGAGGTTTGGTCAGAAGCCGGAGGACTTTGGCATTTCACATGTCTGCGACCAAGAGGGCAGAGGGGAGGGTCGGGGGTCATGAGATTGCAGTCATCAGACTTTGGGTTTATGAGGTGAACAAAACAAGGAAGTTAGATGTGGTGGACCGACCACCTGGAGATGGGGCAAATCTCAGTTCCTGCATCGACCAAGAAGACCTGCTCTCTTGAATCCTTCGACCATCAAATTCCTTCCGGAAAATATCGGAAAATCAAGCCGGTTGTTTGAACCGCCCCTTGATTTCCGTTGAGGCTCACGGCAGTCCGCACCCTCAACGTCGTTTATGGGCATTCTTCTTCAAACGATTTGGGGTTCATGCGGGCCTCTTCCAACGGATTTTCGAGAAGGCTCTTCCATGAACTATCCCCAAGCGTGAGCGCATGCTTCCACATGTATCGACGGACATAAAGGGGTTTGGGGGAATTCCAACAGCACCAATATATCGTATATGATGTATATACATATATGTATGCTTCTACACAACATACATACATGGCTCAAGATTCGCTTCATCGCGCTTGTTAGTCGCAATGGCGAATTTGTGTGCAGGCCCAGGGCTCTGCGAATGGGCTGAAACGCCCGAAGAGATTGAGCTCGAAAGGCTTTTCCAAGAGAAAGGAAAGCTTGGGATGTCCGAGCCGGACAGAAAAGAGTACTATGCCCTCAAGTTTCAGCGGGCTGCAGAGCGAAGGCTGGTGACAATGTAGGAGAAGGCCTGGGATGAGTGCATCCGCCGCGAAAAGGCGGCGGCAGAGGCTGCAGCGCAGGCGGCGAGCCAGGCGGCTTCAGCATCAGCAACGTCACCGACCACGTCTCCCAAGAGCCTCTCCACGACGCCGCAAAGCGGCAAACGCACATCTATGTGGGGAGGAGACGTGCATGAATTCAAGGTTCACTTTGAGACTTCTTTTGGTCAAGAAATGTACATGGTGGGCTCATTCGATGAACTAGGCAACTAAAATGTTGCCCGTGCCGTGCATATGACCTGGACCGAAGGAAATTGGTTGACCGCAAAGGTCCATATTCCAGCCGACCGCAATGTTGTTGAATACAAGTATTTGGTCGGACAGGGTGGACAATTTCAGTGGGAGGGTGGGTGCAACCATCGCTTCGAGATCACCGGTGCGTGCTGCCTGAATGACACCTTTAATCATGAAGCAGGAACACAGATGCACGACTCCCACATCGAGGCACACCGACCGAGACGGTCGACCGAGCCTTCGACCGATCCTGCGGGCGAAGAAAAAAACACATGGAGACATACATGTGCATCCATGTATCTGTGGGACATATAATATCCCGTCGATTCCGGACCATCTCGTTTGCGTTTCCAGGTGCTGCGGCTTTGGGGTCTGGAAAAGTTGGCCTTGTGGCGCTCCCAGGCATGTGGGGAGGCGATTTCCTGGTGTGCGTGTGTGGGTGTGTGTGACACCATGGTGCTTGGGTGGTGCTTTGCACTGAGTTGATGGAATCAGCAGCTGAGTGGCGTAGCGGCGTAGATTTCAGGTGCTCAGAATTGTCGCATTTTCGGCTGTGAAGAAGTATACAGTAAGTAGTTCTCGAAGACGTTTTCAGAGTTGTGGAGTTTCAATTTGCTAGTTCTTGCAGAATTTTTGAAGACTGTTTGGGAAAGTTGTATACCTTGCATCATCGAATTTGTTCCTAATTTTGCAGCGCATACCCAGCCTTCTGGTCACGCATCACGCATCATCCAAACCTAGAAGTGCAAGTAATGCAGCCACAGGTGATGTAGTAAATAAGGCATTTGTGCGACCAGGATTTTCCTCAAACTCTGGGCATCCAGACACGGAATTCCACAGCTTGCCCGGCTTGCCCCAAAACCTTCTCACACCTAGTCTTCGCCCCGCTTCAGACACCTCTACTTTTTATTCCGAACATGTGTGGCGTCACTCATGCGTTGAAGGTGAACTGATGCGAACACATTCAAGAACCCCCTCCCTGAACGCATAGGAGACGGCAGAGCTGCGGTGGCTTGCGGCACGCCCGGAGCTTCTTGGACAGGAAATGAAGGAAGGGCGATGAGCGTCATCCCCACCGGAGCGTGCTACTAGCGTCCTTGCTCCTAGTGGTGATGCTCTTTGATACTAGTAGGGTCCTTGTTCCTAGTAGTAAGGCCTTGAGCCCCTAGTAGCGTCCTTGTTCCTAGTAGTAAGGCCAGGAGCTACTAGTAGCGTCCTTATAGTCTGTATGAAGAGGATGCGGGGATCTCCAAAAAGCCAACTGAGCTGCTCCTCTTGGGAATTTGTGGCCTCTTGGTACAGATTTCGTTGAGCTCATTCTCATGATTGTCTACGGTGCCAAAAACAAATATGGCTTCGTCCACTTGTGATTGGTATGGTGTACCCGCTGAGTCAGTGCCTGTAGCACTGTCAATTTGTGATAGTGGGGCCAATTTAGTTTGGGACATATAATTCGAAGCAATGGCGCAGCACTGTTCAGCTGAGGCTCCTGCAACTGACCACGAAAGCCTTCCGCTTCGCCTTCAAGATCGCTATCGATGCAGCTGGAGAGCCTAGTGGAGCTCTTGATTACAAACATCCTGGAGTAGATAGACAAAGACAAAGGCCATTCTCAATGGAATGTCCCTCAACACGCATCAAGCCACGGGTTCTCCTATGGCCTGTGCTGGCCGAAAACCTCCACATAGAAAAGAAAAGGGAGCAGTGATTTCCAACGAAGCGACTTGACTAGACACACACGATACGCCTGTGTTAATGATATCCATCGCATGTGTGATCAATTCTAGACCGATTTCCTGTCGATAGAGGCTGATCGGTCAGTGGTGGATAGAGGAACATATGGGAAATCAGCTAGGGAAATTGCAAAAAAGAGCGTGCCCAGCAAATGAGGAACAACTTTGGGAAAGTGTGACAGTCATATAATGGAGTATCATTTCAACACCATCTGACAATCTATCGGCTGATTCCTTTCAGTGATGATCGATTCAGGGCAAGAATAAGAACAAAGTGTTTGTAAGGATGTAATGATCCTCATGATACCAGCTAGACTTGCGTTCTCATCAGGTTTCGGTCCCCCCAAAAGTTGCAAAATTCGATATAAACCTTGTGATGTTGTGAGCATGGGCACTAGATCCTTGGAGTACCAGAGTTTTGGAACAGATACTTGAGTAAAGCGTTTCCCTGGTGTCATAACATAAATCAGGCGACTGTTCGCACGCCCGGTGACTTCGCTCCAATGCCGCGTTTCCATGGGGCCGGGCCGGGTGACTTTATGCAAGCTCCGGTGACTTAACACATGCGCTAGTACTGTTATATAATGGAAGAATGCCCCCCAAACCATGGGGAAAATGTAATCTGTATCTTCTATCCACAGTGCAGCATTTCTTCCAACGGAAAGTGTCTGACCATGTGGGTGTGACCTAGGCTGCAATGGGAGAGGAGGTCGACATGGAGTGACTCGGGCCCCGGCATGTCCGAGCGAACGTCGTTTGTAGGGACGGCCATTCAAACCGACACGATTCGTTTTCCAGTCTTTTGAAAGCCATGCAGTGTATAGATATCGAAAGAAGTGGGAGAATGTCAGTGCTCTAGATTTTCATACCACCAAACTTTAGTCATGATACTTTTGATTGGGACATGCTTGACTCACTCATGAGGATTTGGGACATGTAGCGGCCAATCACGCTGTCTTCTGTTTTAAAGGGTTATATAGTTGGCCCGAGAAGAAGTCAATCGAGTGGGCTGGCCTTGACAATGACCAACCGCATAGCAGCATAGTGTGCTGGACTTTCAATTGACAAATGTCCAATTTCAGGCTGTGGCCTATCAGCAGTCGAATTGAGGTTCTTCTGCCCAAATGGCTTAGGGCCAACGGCCGTTCCAAACCCGGCCGAAGTGTCGGATTGAGGCTTTCCTCAATTTCCAGCATCTCTTGTTTCAGAGAGAAGCTGAATGTGGGCCCTGATGCTTGTGTCACTAGGTGTCACTTAAAGTATCCACTATATGTACACAGGAGGTAGGACCTCTCAGTCGAGGCAGGGGCCGAGATGGGTTACCCGAATCCCCACTACTTCTGCACCACCGGTCACCAACCTCTCCAGAATCTTCAATCCACCCCACCAAGTCGTTTCCCCGAGACCGGCCGAGACGCATCGGATGCCGGCATTCTCACCAGGACGACCGTGCAGCCAAATCCACTACTTCTGGGGGTGTCTTCTCCTCGCTCGAGCGACGCCAGAGCGAGGTATACGAACTTCGAGGAGCTCGCGGAGGACCTCCACAAGAGCTGGTTCTTGGGCGAGGAAGGTGCGCCACTCACCGGTACAGACGGTGCCGGTCTGGGTGGTGAGATGGTGGGATGGCTCATCGAGCCGAAGAGCAAAAAGGAACAGGAGGTCCGTTTGTCTCAACACGTCTTGAAGCAGGGAAACTTCTTGGGGCTTCAAAGCTTCTTGAAAAGGAATTGACACCTTTTCAGCTGGGAGGTTGGGTTTTTTCTCTGCACTTCTCGAATCTGGACAGTGCGGCAGATCTTGTCTGTACTGCGAGAAATCTTCGGCGGTTCATTGTAGCGACCAATGGAGCTTTCCCAAACAAGTGAAAGAGTTCCATGGCATTCCTTCACGCGTTCTTTTTTTGAGATCAAGAAGGGGTGCTACAGTGCTACAAGTCCAATTCTGCCAATTTCATCAACTTTCTAGTTCGCGGCTGATTAAGTCAGTGTGGCTTTCATCACAGATCCCTTGCTGATCAAAACCATCATGGGGTTGCTCAACAGCAAGTCGACCACTCTCTTCGAGCTTTGGGCCAGGCAGCCAGCCATGGGAGGCACGTCAGATGAGTGCGAACGCGAACGGTCGCACTTGGGGGAACCTGGAAGTGACCCCATGCTTTGCATGTGCTCAGTCGTTCTTGGACTTCCGAGCAACTTCATGTTCTTAAAGTCGCGCGGGCATTTTTGGCGGACTGGCTCTTGCGTCGATGTTCCAGGGCAAAGCAGAACTGCTCATAGGTTGGTGGTTTGGGTGTTCATCCCTCTTTGCGTGTGGGGTTTCCTCAAGGGAGAGCGTATAACCTTCAGCTGCCTCATACTTGAGGAGAGCACTAGGTGCAGCAAGTCCAAACTCTCGTAAATGTAATGGAATCTGCACAACGAGGGATATACGTGGCTGAGGTGGGCTGACGTTCGTGAGTTCGTGAGTCGGTGGTGCGTGAGGAGGTGGGCTTTCAAGAAACCTCCCGACGTCTCGCACTTCGTCTTCATTCCACAATCGGTCCACTTCTCTCGGGAAGTCAGGAGACCTCTCGTGTTGGCCTGTTTGCTCTCGGGCTCCATCGGTTAGATTCGTTTCCAACCCCTGCACGTAGGTCACGCACTTTGACATCCTGGTGTGTATGGGCCCGAGAGTCTTGACTAATTATGCCCAGCGGTTCTCCAAAAAGGGGTTCTCAATCTGCGGCAAGTCTGGCAGTTTGGCCACCGACAGCGCAATGTTGCCTCATGTTCACCTTCCTCCAAGTTGGTGGCTGCATCCTGGCCGTGATCTTTTGTGAGCTTGGGCCTCTCCACACAGCCGTCCACCACGCCCAAGATGAGCTCGCCCTGTTCAAGGTGGCACGTTGGGTCTTGGTGCTCCCATGGATTTTGATGCTTATCATCCATGCAGCAGAGAGGTACAGGCGAACTCCCAGGACCCGAGTGCTGGTGATCTCTGGTGTGGCAATGATGGAGTTCTCAATTGCCATCAGCTACTACACCATGCTCGCCTACGGCTATGGTGTAGCATTCCAGAATCAACGGTCCAGCGACGGTCGGCCCATCTACACGCTCCGCTGGCTTGGATGGACTTTTGCCATTCCAACCTTGTTGTTCATGAATATGTACCCGATCATGGACACCCATCCTCCTCTCGATGTGGCAGCACGGATTTTTCCCCAGCAAGCTGTAACAGCAGCATATTGCCTGGCTTGCTGGTTGGGATGTATCCTGTACAATCCTTCGGTTGGGTGGGCTTTAATTGCGCTCGGCTGCATAGCCTACATCGTTCAGGTGGTTGATGAAGTGGTGCTTGTGTGCGATCATCTCTTGAAGAGCACACAGCCTGTCGTCAAAGGCTACAGTATCATCCTGGTGCAATGCATTTTTGTGATCTATACATGTGTGTACTTGATGGGCAACCTTGGCTTTGCCAGCTCCTATGCATGCCAGCGCTTCTATACTGTGTCAGACCTATCGCTCAAATCGTGCATGGCAGGTCTACATGTTTTGTGCTGGTGGAAAGACGAGAGAGATCTCAGGGAGGCAGAGAAGGCAGAATGAGGCAAGCTGTGCAGTGGCCGGCTGGGATGGTACATTTATAAGATCCAAGGAGCCGAGCCGCACGCAAAAGAGTAATTTGTCGTTTACTCCAAACTAGCAACATTTCTTTTAGACATACCTGAAATGAGAGGGCTGTAAGCCCATGTGTGTTGCTTTTTGTGCGAGGTTAGCAAGCAGGCTCGGCTTGGCGATTGGTTCAATTCAAGGCTCCACTGCCTTGATCTGACTTTTCCGGAGATTTAACTAGTGGAAGGGCTTGAGGCAAGAAGGGACGCATTTGCCAACATTACCAGTACTGACAAGCCAAGTTCCAAAACCTGAAGCTTGAACTTGCTCAGCTCGACCTTCCAGAAGTTAAACATCGCCGCTTTATATGTTTTTCGCCTGCTGTCAGAATCCCTCCCTTACAGACTAGTGACTAGTGTTTACGTAAAGAAGCTAACAGAGATGTCAAAGCGGATTCAATAAAGCTTGATTTCCTTGTACTGTACAAATGGGCCACAGTGGACCACAGTGAGCTACAGTGGCGATACAAGTCATTCCAATCGAAGAGCTATGCCTGTGGCTGAGTTTAGCCCTTGGTTGGAGATAACCACGTCTCTGAGAGGTATGTCTTTTTTGTTTTGTTTTTCAGGAATCCAAATAAGGTCCTCTGTTTTGGAGAGGCATTCTGGGCACTTAACACATCCGAATTCACTTTCTGTGTAATTTTGCTGAGTTGGATTGGTCTCAAAACCAAATAAACACTTGAGCTGTCGGGATTTGGTCTACCTAAAACCCACCAAAGGCCTCCGTGGGGCTGAGACAAGGATCACATCATAATTTGGGTGATGACAGCAGACAGAGGTCAGGGTCGAATGATGTCATCATCATCACAAGAAACCAAACTGCAGCCGATTTTCTCCGTCCAAAAAGAGCAGCCGAGGGGGCCAGCGCTCGAACGTCGAACATCGCTTGGAATGTGCCCTCATGTGACGTGTGCACTTTCCCAGTGACAAAGGGGTCTGGGCTTGGGAGATCACACTGTTTGCCGAACTGAACCAAGCGTGGCTTATATAAATTGGTTGCTTCTAATGAGGGGAACAACATCTGAACCGAAGGTCTCAAGAATCATCAAGAATCAAGATATTCTGATGGTGTGGTGGTTTCTGTGGTCGTGCAGCCTGCATTGAAGGATTTGGACAAAAAAAGGTTCAGTCTCAAACAGAATCTGATGTACGTAGAGTGTGGGACAGTTGAATTTCCAAGCTTTCCAATCAGCACCAACCATGGAGGATTGCCCCGGTGGCTTCCCCAAGACTTTGACAATGGTGGAATACTGGTGTTTTTCAACCCCTCCTCAACAGCAGTTGTACAGCCACTGAGCAACACTTGTCCCCGGCATAGGCCGCCATGAAGGCTCGCTGGCCGAACTTGATGGCTTTGCGCAGCCCCCGGCCTGGAGCGGAGGTGCCGTGGTCAAACAAACAGGATTTGGACGTGGTCCCGTGGTCCCACACAAATTGGAAGTGGTACAATTCGTTTTGGGGGAACTCATAAATCTGGAAAGTGCGCTTGAATCCTCGCGTTCCAAACTAATGACGCTTCAAAGGAAACATTGCTCCTGGTGCAGTTTGACAACCAGGTGTATCAACGTCTCCCAATTTTGCTCCAGAAGGGTCCCTGGCAATTGCGTGGTCAACTCGGACATGGCTCTGCGGTCGTTGCGAAGTGGGTCGTTTCGCTTCGGTTCGCTTCGCTTCCCCCTCCTTCGCCTGGCCATTTCGGACATTCCGTCCGGCAAGACCCGACATTCCGAGGGTGTTCGAGTCCCAAGCAGTTCAGATTAAAGCATTTTCCACTGTGTCACGTGAAGAGGAGTAGAAGTTCGGCCGATGGGTGTGGTGGAACATAGGGTAGTTCATGGGCTTGATGTTTCAACCCAAACAGCATTTATCATTCATGTCAATGCAGGGATGATTGATCACTTCCACCTCCAAACGTATGTTTGTTCCCTGTGAGGGGTTCTTACTCCTTTGAAAGGGGTGCATGACCGGGCCGCATTATTTTACATTTGTCTCGGGGCTTGCGTTCCTGCCACGCCGCATGATGCTTGTGGGCGCTTTGGCCGCATGATTTAAGCTTCTCTTTCATTGGTGTCCCACTTGTGCCCCACTGTCTCCAGTCTCCTGTGGGTGCTTTGGCCGCATGATTTTTACATTTGTCTTCTACTGTCTCCAGTTCGCTGTGGGTGCTCTGGCTGCATGATTCTGCACTTGGACGCGTTTACACCTGTCTCCCATTTGCCTCCCCACTGTCTCCAGGGGGTGCTCTGGCCGCATGATTTTACACTTGTCTCCCATTTGTCTCCCACTGTCTCCCCGCATGATTTTACACTTGTCTGGACATGGACCTGGACAAAACAAAGTGTTTGGGGTCAACGCTGGTATAATTAATTAAAATTATATAAGTTCCCCAAGCATGGAACCAAAATTAGTGCAAGCGTGAGCTATCCTGCGTCCATATGTAGTAGCGTCTCAGTAGCTACGAGAACTTCTCCCATACTCATAAGTACGTAGTTTCTACTTAATTATTTAAGAAATTAGGAGGGCGGAAAAACTCACAAAAAAAAACAGAAAAACATGTTTCGGCCCTTTACACTGGATGGTCATAGGGGTGGTCAGGTCGGTACGCCACGGAATGTTCCTCAAAACAAAGCAATCAGATGTCCAAAAAATGGAAACAATAGCAAAAGGAACCTAATAGCCATGGCCTCCAACCTACTAGCGCTGGCCTCCAACCGCCTCCAACCTAACTGCGATGGCCTCCAGCCTAATAGTGAAGGCCTCCAACTTAACTGCGAGTGATGGCCTCCAACCTATAATAGCGATGGCCTCCGGCCTCCAACCTAATAGCGATGGCCTCCAACCTAACTGCGATGGCCTCCAACCTAACTGTGATGGCCTCCAACCTAACTGCGATGGCCTCGAACCTAATAGTGATGGCCTCCAACTGCGATTAACTGCGATGGCCTCCAACCTGTTAGTAATGGCCTCCAACCTAACTGCGATGGCCTCCAACCCAGCAGCGATGGCCTCCAACCTAACTGCGATGTCCTCCAACCTAAAAGCGATGGCATCCAACCTAACTGCCATGGCCTCCAACCTAAAAGCGATGGCATCCAACCTAACTGCGATGGATGGCCTCCAACCTGCGATGGATGGCCTCCAACCGTCCAATAGCGTCGGCCCGAGACGTCGGCTAATTGCCAGGTGCAAGTCCTCAGACTGCGCTACAGTGAGGTACTGGATGAGCGGACGGGGCGGAAAGGCCTTGATTTATTACTCAGCCTGTTGTTGGTTTTAGATAATTACTGTACTATATATATATGTAAATATGTATACAAATAACTATAACTATAATAGTATGTACTATATAGCACAACAACTTTTCCTTTGAGGGGGTTCAAGGGAAGATGGTGGTGGGACAATAGACTGATAGACTCTAAAATCTAAAGGCATGCTTCTGGCCCCCATCCTTTAAAGGAATTGCCCAAACCACCAACCCAATCAGCATCCAAGATTTCTTTCTATTGACCTCTGTTTTTCCGCAGCTAGCGGTACTCTCAGAGCGGGCTCATCCATTGCAGGAGGCATGTCGTGTGGGACACCTTCGGCCTGAAGTCTGGAACTCCATTTGGGCCGGAACCCTTGGCAGCGTGTTTGCGTGGGCAGACGCGTGTTTTGTGGCATCATGGGTGGCGAACCAACCAACGGGGTAAAAAACATGTTCAGTAGGTATGCCTTCAAGAACTGGGCCCCCATTTGATTCCCTCGGATCCAGACAGAAACACGCACAAACACACACTTGAGAAAATGCGTACTGATTTGAAAGCAGTTGCCACACGCCGGCCTAAGTGAAAAACCTAAGAATCCAGGGTGAATAACGGTGAAGTGAGCAAAAACCTCCAAAGCTCAACGTGCAGGAATGCCAAAAACAAATCCAAAGTTCACCAGTGCAAAACGGCGGCAATCTCAGTAGCACTTTACTGCAGAACCGAAGCAAGGAAAATGATCGTGTTCTAGTTACAAACAGGGACCAAAGCTCGGGATCTTCCAGCTGTCACTCACAGACCCAGGAGCGATCAAACTGCAGGTACGTTTTCACGACGACATGGATGGGTCTTCGTTGGCTCGTGCCATCCATGCGTCCATGAGCCCCCTGCTATCACTCAAAAAGGAGTACAAATCCAAAGGGATCCTTGTGACTCCAAGGGTGACACAATCACACACACACACACACTTAGGATAGGGTGTACTGAACTGAAAGCGGTGCCACACGCCGGCCTAGGGTTCCATTTCCTAAGAGTACCAGTAGGAAGCCATCGAATCCTGGGGGCCTTCAAAAGGAAAGGAGGCCCAAAAGGAAAGGACCGAACGACGAACGAACAGGCTGACGACGTACGCTCACATCTGCAGATGCATTAGCACTTTACCAAAGGATTAAAATTCGCAAATACGTCCAGCAAGACTCAAAACACGAAACACGAGTAGCGATTAGTAACAGAACCACATGAACCACCATGAAAGCAAACCACAGCGAGAACAACAGGTAACCAGTTTGGCAGGTACGTTTACACGGGCCCCAGAGGAG